TTATCGACTTTTTCAAGCGCGCCTACACTTTCTCGATCATACAACTTGGTGGTTCAGCATTCCTTCTTTGGTGAACGCTTCGTTCTTTGGCGATAAACGTCATAAATTTGACGAATCAATGAACGACATTGTCGATGATAGAACTGAAGCATCTCGCGACTAACAAATTGTATAAAGAAAACTGAAGTTGTGCCGAAGGATTTCGTGAAATACACTAACATTTCGCGAAAGTAATACACGGAGAAAATAAATAATATATAGAACCGAGAAATTAAAATGGCTTAACTGCCAGAGATGCAAATATCATAGATCGTCTGGCTTCTAGCAACTTATATTATCCTGGTCAACAGATACTGAAGGTCATCTCGAGACGTCACGTAGCTGACTCGTATAGAGAATTACAGATTCATAATATAATATGTTTTTTTAATAGATGAATAAATAAGTCCCTCCCTCTTTTCAGGAAACTCCTATCGTATTATTTTTAATTAATAATTAATTGCACAAGTATAAATCAAGGGATAATGTACATTTTTTCCGTAATTACATTAACCAAATTTATTACAAAGGTGAAAAGAATAATAAAATGTATTAAATCAAAGATGATTTAAGCATCCATGCAAAAATACATTTGGATATTACCGTATTTTGTTATGCTTTAGCAAACAGAATTGAGAATTTCAAATTGATCATTACGAACAAAATACTTCTTCATATTTACGCCGCACACTTATTATCATTATAAATCATTATAAACAAAATACTTTTTCATACGCCGCATAATTGTATATGATTAAACTTTCATTTACGTTTCTGTAATTATTCTGTAATATGTAATTATTCAAAGAAAATTAAAAACTGTGTGTGTGTATCTGCGTATGCATTTTGCATAAGTTAGTAACATTTTTCACATAATATATAACGAAAATATAAAGCATCACATGTACGCCACTGCTATAGGTGTAACTCTAATACACTGTAGTTGCAAAGCCACGTGGTACTTTTTCGTTCCGGAAGTTTCATGTTAAAACGAGAGATCTAAAAATCATGTAGGAATCATGTATACATATATCCTCTACCATCATCATCATTGACATACTTCTTCGTTCATGTGTGAGCCTAATACAATAGTAGTACTAAAATGAGTTGCGAACGAATTCAATGACATCGACGATGATGTTACTATGGCAACAAAAATCTAATAGTCTCTTCTGTTCCGCTTCTATACACGAGTGTGGAATATAAGATGCGATATCTTTCTTGTCAATTACAAAAACTACTTCTTTATTAAATAAATACTTATCAGTTATATGAAAATTTTACGAATTGCTGAATTCTTTTCTCACATAGATTTTATTCGAATCAATTATTGGACAAAAAGGCAAGATAATAACGAGAAGGAGAGAAAGAGGAAGAAAGAAATTTAGCCGTGAGTTCAAGTAACGGATTAATTTAACGGGCGCGAGATGAAATCACGGCGAAGTTTCTGCAGATTATGCGAGCCTGTTCGCTAGATGCTAAAGATCATCTCGAGAAATACTCCAGTTTCGCAGCATCTCGATTATCTCTTCTCTCTCACATCATCCGACAGTGCATGCGCTACTCACAATAATATTTATAGACAAAAGTCAAAATTAGCAAAAATAAATCGTCAGCAGATACTACAATGGCCAATAATAATTTTTCCTCCAAAGATTCGATTCGCATTTTTACGGATATTTAATATTTTATCATAGTTGCAAACATTGTAGTTAGATAATTCATAAATATATCCATAATACTCGATGACGTGAACTTAATGCCCAGTCAATCACAATTTTATAGAATACGTATATATCATACTAATTAAATTCATCTCTACAGAATTTCCCGTTCACTCATACAACCTTTTCATTAAACAAGTTTATCATTTTATTAATCTAGTTATTTTATACGTAATGACACATAGCATTATACGTTAGCATAACGAATCAGCAACAGTGAGTGTCGAGATATTCTTATCACAGCCACTGTTCCCTTTTCACCGACAGCAAAAGCTTACCTAGCTCTTTATCATGCTGTTAACCGAGTCAGCTCGAAGCTTGAAAGTGAGTGGTGAACAAATGGTAGACCGACAACAGCAACGTAATACGAACTAAAAAAGCGGAAACTTCGATTTGTTTTTTCTGTTTATTAATTATTATTTACATTCTTCGCATGTTAAAACGGTTTCTTACAAATAGCAAATAATCTTATTACGAATTGTTACGAGTTTATTCTCTATTATATCTCGTGAAAATTCACCTTCACACGCCATCTCGATATGGTCTTGCTGACCTCGCTGTCGATCCTTGTACTGCTTTGCCCCATGTCCGAGAACAACCTGGGATTCATGATATCCTGGTGTTTTGAGGACAGTAGAGCGAGTGGCGAACCAATAGTCGAAAGCAAAGGCGAGACAAGAAGAGCACCCTCGAAACTAGATTCGAAGTATCATAGGACAAGAGCTGCGCCAGGGTAAGGATTATGGACATAACAACGATATCATTGTTTTTATAAATCCGTTTTATCATGGAAGTAGAAAAGAGAACGTATTGCGTACAGAAATATCGAACGTTCTCATGTTTATTTTTATCTCTAAATTACAAAGCTGCATGTATTGATAAAATGTTGATATGTAATGCAATAATTTTGTATTTATAATATTTAATATTTGCCATTTGTGAAAAACTGTTTTAACCTACGGAAGATATAAATAAGAATTAACAAAGAAAAAACCAATATTTCCAAGATTATTATATTACAAGATTATTATATTTGCACGTGTGATCGCAAATTCAACTTTGTGAAATATAATATTTATTATATAATGAGACATATTTAACGCGATGTGCATATGCTATTATGCTGTTATTATTACGTTTAAAACGAGAATATTATAAATCGATACAACCGATTTAATGACTATATAATCGGTTATAAACATATCATATAATTATGAAGCATATAATTATTCGTGAAGCGTTCATAACAGCTTACCATTCAATATTAATGACAAGTTGTGATTTACTTAAATTACTCCTTTCGTTGCAAATAGCTAGTTAAATCCATTTTAATTCAAACTACTTACTTCTTTTAATCTGATAAAAATAATGCAATGCATTCTCTTCTCTATTTCGATGTCCCTCCGCATGACGATACTTTTTCTTTATTTTTCGCTTATTACAAAATAAATATATCATATAAATATTATTCTACACTTATATAATATAATATAATTATATAGTATAATTATTTTTTATAACAATATATACTTTTTATACTACACTTGGTAACAATTCATTGAAATTATTTTCTCTCGATAGCATGTCTTTATCAATAACACTATATAAGAACTAAAGAAAAATCCATAAAAAATACCTAAGAACATAGAAAAAGGTTTGAAAGACATATACGATAAGTTTTACAGTGTTGGAAAATTATAGAGAAAATTATCAAGCTGAAAATTGTAAGGTTACATCGGAGTAAAACTTTCCTACTGCATGCTCCTGCTTCCCTAGTAATATATTTAATATTACTTGATAATATATGTTTACGTTAAATTATTAAATTAAATAAACAATACGCTGACCCAGTTACGAAGCATTAATGATAAATGTACGGACGCGTATATATATATCTCATTTGAATAATATTCGATCCATCTTTTAGCTGGTCGCGAAATTCATCTTTTCCTATCCGCCAACGATATAGCAACGCACATCAACGTGTATGATGTCGCGAAAAAATCGGATTTGATGAAGAAATCGGATTAAAAAGAAGAAAGACGAAGAAGTATAGAATGCGTTAAACTAAAAGTCAATCTGATATGTGTCATTAATGAAATGCCAGCGAAAGTTCAATATACGTAACGATCAAAACATGCATTTCGAGTTGATCATGCTCCAAGCTCAATATGTTTTCCTGGTACCCGAGCACCACTTAGCACACCCTCTGAATTCTCATGGGACGTATATACGTAACGGAAATCAAACTAGTTTTGGTCAAATCTCATGCAGATAACGCGCTGCGTCGCTCACTACACAAAGTATAGTACTACACAAAGTATAGTAGAGAGCTTTAAAAGATTTAAAGGCTCTAGAAATTTCGTAAAGCCGTAAAATTGTTATGATATTTATTGATAATCCTTTAATTTATCGAATAGAACTTGTAATGATCACTTATTAGCTTTAGAGAATTATAAAGTCACGACTTTTTTACGATGTGAACTAATTTCGCTGTTGAACCTTATCTATGATTGATATCATGTGTTATAAATTATTTCTGCATCAACATTTAAAAACAGCATTCTTTCAATGCTACTACTGTTTAATTAATTCAATGTTTGACTATTTATAAAATTATTTGATCACACGTACTTGCATAATTGTGTATTTTAAATTATTTTACAATTTGTACAATATATTTTGTACACTTTGTATATTTTAAGTTGCTAGTATCATTATCTATCACATAAAGTTTTTACACACAGTTTTATTATGGGAATTATAATATTTGCATATAAATTATAAATAAGTTATATGAAGAGAATGCACATATATTATTATTTTAATAATATTAATATATTAATAATATTTATTAATATCATTAATATATATATTACAAGTATTAATATATTAATATTTTAAATATTATACCTTATATAAAGAATTAATTTAAAACAGAAGGAGAAATCTCACAAGGGGGCGTAGCTCAGATGGTAGAGCGCTCGCTTAGCATGCGAGAGGTACCGGGATCGATACCCGGCGCCTCCAACTTTTTATATTTTACTTGTCTAATAATAAAATTCAAGTCTAAATTTATGAAGATTTAATTATTAGATATTGTTCTATATCATTTATTTTTTATCTACTGTCTAATCACACAGTATATTCCTTATAATTATCGCTTCCTAAGCATATTATATTTCTCAATCCTCCATCCTTCCTTAATGATAAATAAAATAAGGAAACATTCAACAGAACTGACGAGAGCCGGTGATGCCAACAAATTATCGGAACAGTTAAATTATAATGGAGCAAGAAGATCGTATTGTCCGACAAACGCTTACATTGAAAATCAACCAGTTAATCGATACGACAGTTCTTTGCAATTAAGACAATTGAGATCTGAAATGGTTCGCGTGGCAGCAGTTCAAGGACCAGCTCTGGATGGTTATATTGTTACATCGGACGACGAGCATCAAGTAAGTTCTATATAATTCGTACGGTTTAGGCCGGCAATTTAAGCCGGTTGCACGCAAGACGCGGCAACACTTGCCGCGTGACGGAAGTCGGTTAGGGAATATCGCAATAGCCAATTATAGTTTGTTTACTAAAAACGTAACCAATATAATTCCTGTTTGAAAACCGTTACGTCGAAAACATTTGAACAAGCAGATAGAAGGGCTCTTCCTATATGACGCAACATGTAGGGAGTCCCAGTCATTGTCTAACACTTGCTAGAGAAAGTCGTGTTTGACAATAAATGGTATATACGATAAAAGATTCGAAGCTGTTTTCCTTTGCACGCATCCCAAAGGACCTAAAATTTCGCGAGAAGCGGGTGCAAAATACATAAATACATAATAAAGTTAAAAGTGTTTGTGAATAAATGAATAAAGCGGTATGCAATAACAAATACCGTAGATGATCTGCCAGACTGCGGTAAGACAGAGAAGACATCGACAAAAGAGGATAAAAAAATTATACAATTATTTTCTACAAATCCTTTATTATCCTTTATTATCGCTGCATTAGAAACAAGTCAAATTAAAACAAAACGGTATTATTTTATCACTTAAGAATATTCGAACTCGTCTACAAGCTTCTAACTTTAAATATCGAAGCACAATGAAGAAACCGCTTCTCTCAAAAAAGCATGTAGAAAAACGAATCGCTTGGGCGCATGAAAATATCAATCGCGATTGGAAGAATGTTATTTTTTCCTCTGTATGAATCCCTTTTTTGAGCTCGCAATACTGTCAATTGAACTTGGTCTATTCCCATGAGCAAACCTATTCAACAGACCGTAAAAAATCCGATAAGAGTGCATTTCTGAGGCTGTTTTTTTAACCAAGGATTTGGAACTTTATCTCTATTTACAGAAAATTTCGATGCAAAAAAGATGGTTAAAATTTACCAGAAAGTATTAATACCATCTGTTGAAAAGTGATTTTCAGGCAAAAATCAAGACAGAATTTTACAAGAAGATAACGATCTGGAACATCGAAGTTGTTTTTGCTACCAGTGGAAAGGAGAAAATAATATCGAAACATTAGACTGGCCGTCACAATCACCAGATGCAAATTCTATTGAAAATGTTTGGGGATTAATGAAGATGAAGTTACGTAGAAGGAAAATATATACAGTGAAAAACAACTATCTTGACAATTGCGTTTAATATAGCTATCTTTATCTCGAAAGCATGCTGAAAAATTGATAGATAGTATGCCCAGAAGATGCCAAGCAATAATTGACAACGGCGATGATTGCATGATTTATTAATATAAAAACGTCATAGTATTGACTGTGTACGTATGTAATTTTTCTATTTTTCTTTTTTATAATAAATAGCTTAAAAGTTATGTCGGTCACGTTCTTAGTAAACAGACTGTAACGTCCCACATGCCGCATGCTTTGTAAATATTTCCAGGCAAGCAAGATGTTCAATGGCTATTGCGATATTCCCTAGTCAACTTCCATCACGCGGCAAGCGTACCACGTCCTGTGTGCAATCAGCCTTAATTCTATTATAATTGATACTAATTATATCCTATTCATTTAAAGATCTATTTAATACATCTTAACAATTAACGCATTAATAGATCAATCTTACTTATTATGTTTAAATTTTTAGACAGTGAGCTTCGTTTCTCATGGCCTTTAGAGGTATATTTGCATGATGTATAGTACTTGAAAATTCTTCTTAATATTGAGAATATTTTGCATAATTTCAGTTTATGTTGGTACACTTGACAATCTTTATTGATAAAAAGTTTTATTCGATTTTCCAAGTGCAGTATATTAGTATTTAATATTTTTTTTTATATATATTTCCCAATATAGATTTCAATGATCTTAGAAATTGTAATAAAATGTAAGAAATATTCCTATTGTAGCGGCCTGTTAGAACGCGAACATTGTCTTTGTAGTCTTCCGATAGTTCCGACAAGGCGTCACCGCCATCACCACTGTCGATGCATCGTCACGATATGTATCGCGGCTTACGGGATAGATTTTGGTAGTATCCTTTTAGTTTTCTGTTGCCAGGACAACCAAACTAATATAAGAGCCGAAAGGCGCGAGCTAGAGTCAGTCTATTTGCGACTCCCGGGCAAGACCAACCCGAACACAGATATACCCGAACACGCTCAATATATATTAGAACGTATATTAGAAAACCTTCCTAATATTACGATTACGCTTAATTCCTCACACGTCATTTCTGCACCTCACACGTCACATCCTTACACTATCTTGATAAAATTAAAGATTTAAAAGTTTATCCATAAAAATATTCATCTTTTATTAGCAGTATTAAAGTAAGAGTGATTCAATGATACAAGATGTTTAAAAAAAGGATTCAGAACTTTAAGGGCAGATAATATTCACAAAATGGAGAAAAGAAATCCTGATAAATATGGATCCAGAAATTAAAATTAATATTGTCGGATTTATAAACAATTATTTATTTTAATTAAAGCAAGTGACTTATTCGCTTCTGATGCACAGTCATACGTGAAATGCATTTCTACTATTTCTTGATTAAAGTAATAAGATGTATTAGAAAATTATAGCTTCATTTTCAACGTACTGTGAAAACTTTGTGATAGTTCTCTACAACTGTTTACTATTCACGAGGATATATGATTAATAATTACTTGGTAAAGCGTATATATAAATAGAAAGGAAATATATATTTATTTACATTCCGAGCAAGAGCGAAAAGATTTTTTTAAGGATTTCTTTAAAACATGGTCTTCGCTATAAACTCTTCCCTCTTCACTATAAACAGACCGAATGACAAACGAATTACATCAGAAACTACAAAAACACCAAAAACGAATAAGTCGCTTGTTTCAATTAAAATAAATAATTGGTCATAACTTCGACAATATTAATTTTTTGATACATGTTTATTAAGATCTCTGGTAATTATGCAGAAATAGGAACCACCTCCCGATGTCAATGATTTTCATTGTAAAAATGTAAAATGTCCGCATTGCCCAATATACATTAAACAATATTAAACAGTATATATAAGCGGGAAAGGGGCTTCGTCCCTGCCCCGCATCCTCTTCAAATAAATTCTAACCTAACCTTACTTATTGCAACTTTATATATTTTTGCACATTGTTGAACAAGTTCTCTTAAGACCTATCACCTAATCCAACTTAACTTATTATATCTGCATACAATTAGGTGTTGTGAGTTTTAAGGAAATCTTTTTAATAACGCCGAAAAATATATAAAGATGCAATAAGTTAGGTTAGGTTAGGATTTGTTTGGGGAGGAGGGGACGGAGCCCCTCTCCCGCTTATATATACTGTTTAATATTGTTTAATGTATATTGTGTCTAAAGAAGTTGGGCTCTATCTATAAAATTTCATTTATTTATAACTTTCTAATAAATTGCAATGTGTAAGTATGTGATATGGAGTGATAAAAAGTGGGAACACGGATGTCCATTGGACATCTGTTATATGTCCATTTTTTATACAAAAGACGTCCATAGGACGTACGTTTGTCACAATTTCGAACATAGGACATCCGATGGACGTACATCGGACGTCCTACAGGTCCGATGTACAATAAGGACATCCTTGTTACGTTCAATTTATGTCCACGAACGTAAATTGGACATACGGACATAAATTAGACGTGAAACGTCTAATTTATTGAATTTTGTAATTTTATCTCCAGATTCGTAATCTGCGACCGATGATCGATCAGCGACCCTAAAAACCCCTTACTGACTAGTTTTATGGAAGGCAAGTGTGACAGAAATCACATGTAATATGTACAAAGTGTTGAAATAGTGCTTTCATGTTCAAGGATCAAGAAGTGATTTCCACTCTTAAAATGCGTTGTCAACCGATATAAAAAAACACGTGTTCAATATTTTTCAATGTTCTACGTGCATGCTAAATTTCATTGGAATCAGTGAGTGACAGTTGGGTAGTGTTACTTGTTAGAAGAATGACCCTAACAACATATGTCAAGGTAAAAGTTATCGGAACTGGAGTCCCCTAAACAACATATTTACCTCTATTTTAGGAACACTGAAATCTGCCCTTAAAATCTTGAACTTTTTTTTTAAACACGCTATACAGGGTGGGGCAATTACTATTAGGACCTTAAATATCTTCGAATCTATAAGGCCCATTTGAAGGAAAATTTGTGCAACCAAAATTGCCCATTTGGAGGAAAATTTGTGCAACCAAAATTGCACGGTACGAAGGGGGCTATCATATAACTATAATAATTTTCGTCCAGATGGAGGCGCTTCGGAGATACCAAGGACATCTTCATTTTTTAAATGGGTCCGATATGTTTTTTTTTCCATAATATAATAGAGGAGCTCGAAACAAGTTCAAAACTCACGACATAAAATCATTGAACAAGATTTAAAGTGAAGAAAAATCGATAAAAATACATTTTTATTATTGAATGAAATTTACATTTACAAAAGATGTTCGAATGGATATATCGTGCATGATTGACTGACTTTTATTTTCTTTTTATTTCAATCCATTTTCATGTCTAGTTTATCCTGAGAACTTGCTCAGATGTCTTTCAGCAGTGAAAATAGATACGTATTATCACTTCAATAAAAACAAACACTCTTTGAAGGACATCTTAATAAGTTCACCGTAGTAATAAAAGTAAACATGACAAGATTAGTATCGAAATCAGTCAATCGTGCAAGATGTATCCATTTGAAGAACAAGTTGACATGATTTTAATTTATGGTCAATGTCAACAAAATTCAGTGCGAGCAAGAATTTTGTATTCTGAACGATATCCTAATCGCATTCTGCCTTCGTATCAAACATTTAAAAATGTGTGCGATAAACTTTGACAAACCGGTAGTTTAAATACTCGTAAAAGTGAACGTGAAAAAAGAGTAACTCATGAAGGGAATGAAGTTGGTGTCCTCGCAATGGTTGGTCGAAATCCTCACGTTGGTTCACGACAAATTGAACGAGAATTTGCTATTAGTAAGAGGAGCGTACTTCACATTTTGCACCGTCACAAATTCCATCCATATCATCTTAGCCTTCACTAAGGATTGCATGGAATGGACTTGTAAATCGTGTTAGATTTTGTCAATGGCTCAATATCAGATTCGAAACAATGACTCTTATGAATGAGTTCTCAGAATAAACTAGACATGAAAATGGATTGAAATAAGATTAAAATAAAAAGAAAATAAAAGTCAATCAATCATTTTTCGATACCGTGTTATTCACTGATGAGGCAACATTTACTAATCCCGGGAACGTTAATTTGTGTAACATACATATCTAGGCAGTGGAAAATCCTCATTAGCTGTGACAGGTCAAACATCAGAGACAATGGTCTTTAAATGTATGGTGCGGTATCATAGGTGACAAAATTATTGATCCTGATTTTATTGACGGACATCTAAATGGCAATAGCTACGCTAATTTTCTAGAGCATACAATAGGTCCTTTATTAGAAGATTTGCCTTTAATTACACGACGAACAATGTGGTACTAGCATGATGGATGCCCAGCTCATTTTTCATTGGTTGTGAGAAATAAACTCAATGAAAAACTTACAAATCGCTGAATTGGACGTGGAGATCGTGTAGTGAGGTCAGCTCGTTCGCCAGACTTGACACTACTGAATTTCTTTTTATTAGGAAAACCCTAAAGGACATGGTCTACAAAGAAGGACCAACTACACTTCAAGACATGCAACAACGGATTATTACAGCTTGTACATCAATAACTCCTGACGTTATTAAAAGAGCAAGCCAATCAATGATCGGAAGAATCCAGTCTTGCATCGATAATGATGGCCATCATTTCGAACATTTTTTGTAAACGTAAATTTCATTCAATAATAAAAATGTATTTTTATCATTTTTTCTTTACTTTAAATCTTGTTCAATGATCTAGTGTCGTGAATTCTGAACTTGTTTCGAGCTCCTCTATTATATTATGGAAAAAAAACATATCGGACCCATTTAAACAATTGAAGATGACCTCAGTATTTCCAAAGCGCCTCCACCGGGCAAAAATTATTATCGCTATATGATAGCTCCCTTTGTACTGTGCAATTTTACACAAATCTTCCTCTGGGCCTTATAGATTCGAAGATATTTTTTAAGTCCTAATAGATATTGCCCCACCCTGTATACACATCAACTAATAAATACTAACTAACAATGATATTACGTCAATATTATAATTTATTATATATTTATTATATTATAATTTCCTATTCAACAATATAACTGTCACGTAACACATGTGTTATATTGCATTTATATTGTTCAGTGAAAAATTATAAAATTGATATTATGTTACTGATAGCACAGAACCACAGAATAAAAAAAGGTATTTTATTCTGGAAGAAAGACCAACTGTTTCCTACTGTGACCTGGCAGCCGCGAGGGCGCCCGTCACTAATATGCGAAGCCGCGATCACGGCGTGGGGAGGGGGGAAGAAACTTTTCGTGCGAATTAGGGGGAGTCAGAAGTGACTCCCCGGGGAAAAAAATCTCTCTAGTGGCGTAACCGTTAGAGTTAAGAGCATGCAGGTGAGATGGTCTCACGTCCCGCATTTTGGGCCCCTGGACCTCCCGCGCCGACCATCAGGACAGGAGGAGCAGGATGCGAAGGACGTCGCTCGTCGCCCGACACGACACAATCAGGTGATGCTCTCTATTCTCTTTTCCGTTTAGCAAATTATGTACCGTCCCGAAAGGAATTATCGCTGCTGTATTTGTTGACAGTCAAGCTAACGGCCAACCCGGAAGAGGCAAGCGGAGCGAGGCGGGATACCGTCGAACACGGCCACGACGCGTGGCCCGCTCGCCGAAAACATCGTCTAGACGAACCCGGAACGAAGACAATGCTCGCGGGCTAAAGAACAAGAAAAAGACAGAAAAAGACGGGGAGGGGGAGAGAGAGAGAGAGAGAGAGAGAGAGCATCGTTAACGCGAATCGACAATCGCAATTCGCGGAAGGATTCCCGTCCCGTCAAGAGAGCGAGGAACGGGAAGAGAGGAACCCCTCCCCCCGAAACGGAAAGTAAAAAAATGAGATTCGATCCGTTTTTAGAGAGGACAGAGAGATTCCGTTTTGATGCTAGCGATAGAATAGTAGATTTGGTGATCCTGTCGAGAGAGAAAAAAAGAGAGGCTAGTCCGTTCTCGTGTCGTCGCTATCGAAAAGTCGGAGACGAATTGCCGATTTTCGCTCCCGAGGAGTAGTGTTCCTTTTATTTTTTTTTTTGTAATCGCTACCAAGACCCGGAGAGTGGAGTGTCGTGCATGACTCCCCGAGAGGGATACAGTTTGGAGCGTTCGAACGACGGAGCGACGAGCCCCGAGACGACCGCAGGCCGTGATCGACCCCGAGCCAGGAGCGACGACCAGGATCACGCCGCCGGGAGGTTCCCGACTTTGTAAGACCGATCACTTGCTTATCGTTTTCGGTGTTCCTTTTGCGTGTCTCGTCGGAGAGAAAATTTGTTGCGAAGAGCGGTACCGATCTCGCGAGTACGCGCGTGGGGAAAAATTGTATCGTCCCGCCGAGATTCGGAGCATACCGCCTCCCGAATCGAAATAAAGAAGATTATCGTAAAAGCCGCGCTGCTCTACTTCTTCCCGGTCTTCTCGTCTCCCCCGAATTTCCGACCGAACCTATCCTGTCCACCGACTAAAAACTTTCCCCCCGAGCTACCGGTCCCGCCAAAATCCCACGTCGCGTTCACACAGAATTCACGGTTAGTGTTGGAGGACGGTGCGGCTGTCCGCACCTGGCGCCCAACATATCGTTTCTTTTGGTGTGTGTGAAAGGTCGTGACGCGTGGACCGACGATAATTTGCCGGCACTTGGAAAATAGCGTCGCACTACGTATTTTGACGTTCTGAAACAAAATCCGTTTCCCAAAAATTTATATCACGTCACATTTATGAGATGACACACGTAGTAAGAGGATCCAAAATTACATAATTCACATCGCAAATTAAAATAACGCAGATTATAAATTCCTATCTACATAAAACCACAATCATAAACTGTAAACCAACCAAACTAAGTCCCTTGAACCCTCAACCTATAAATTCCAAACCTATACACTCCAAATTCATATTGATTGAGTCATTGATGATAAGATCTCAAAATGATCCAGCCAGTGAAGGCAAAATCTGGAATTAATCCGGCTAGTGAAGTCAAGACCCAAATAAACAATAAAACTATTAAAAAATCGTCGAAATCATGTTATCGAAATATAACAAATTAGAATGTTTTATGAATTTAAAATTGTATTTTCTCCATTCTCATCTCGACTACTTTCCGAAAATCAAGGACATAGTAAAATTATAATGAAGAACTTCACAAAAACTATGATTTTAATTGGGACGATGTAAAGATATTAGATCATGAGCCATCTGTTATTAAAAGATGTATTTCTGAAATGATTTATATTGAACGCCAAAAAACAGAAAATTAAGAGAAGATACCAAGATAGATAGAACGAAAATGGCGGATTACTATTGATTACTGAAAAGAAATACACAAAAGAAAGTGACACATAAAAGGAAAGCGATCCGAAGGTCATTTGAACGAAAAAAATACGAGCACATAAAAAAGTAAAAAAAACAAGAGATTAGTAAGGTTGTTGGTTTATTTATGTCTTGCCTTCAATGTCCGGATCATTTCAAGATCTTGCCTTCAAGAGTTTAGGGTGTATGTGTTTGAGGTTTATGGGTTGAGGGTTCAAGGAACTTGGTTTAATTAGTTTATAGTTTATGATTGTGATTCTATGTAGATAGGAATTTATAATCTGTGTTATTTTAATTTGTGATGTAAATTATGTGATTTTGAACTTCTCACCACGTCTTATGTCTCATAAATGGCTCGTGATATAAATTTTTGGGAAACGAATTGTTTCAGAACGTCAAAATATATAGGAAATAGTTGATTTTCCTTCCGGAACAAAATAGTTTTTTCTTATTCTTATTCTGTAGCCCTGTGTAGTTAATGTTTACTGGAAATATTTCTTTTCTATCTTACAAAATATATAAATTATTTTCATGTAGAGTGAGACTGTGGATCCACATGATATGAGAAGAGAATTCCTTACTGGATTTACTGGAAGTACTGGAGAAGTTATTGTCACTATAGATAAAGCTGTACTTTGGACTGATGGTAGATATCATATTCAAGCAGATCATCAATTAGACTGCAACTGGATTCTAATGAAAGAAGGACAATATGATGTAAGTAAATTGATTCACATCTAAATTAATGCTTCTCAAAATGCCCAGATACTTTTTAATAAACATAATAATATAAATAATATAAATAACGGCTCTGAGATCTAATAAGTTAAACAATTGAAATCGGACTAACAAAAGCCAAAACGCAGATATAAACGCATAAATAATATTAACATAAAGAAATATAAAAATCTCGAACGTTTCGGCCTTAACTTTGAACAATTCTCAGCAAATACAGTTATTTGAAAATAAAACCAAAAACGATATGCAATCAAGATTAGTAAGCAAACCAAATTCCACACAACTAGTAGTGATTTAAAAGTCAACTACAGAAGCCTCGAAATTCAAAATGATCAGAAAAACTTGTGTGACCTTATTAAATAAAAAAAAATTAAGAACACTTGAAAACAAGTTATTAATAAAATAATGATCATCAAAAGATCCAGCAAATTGTAAAAGAAAGCGAAAAAAACAAACAAAGCGAAAAAACATTGATAGTAATAAATAGATGTTAGATTTAAAGAGGGAAATGCAAACTGAAGTATATATTTTTAATCATTCGTCGAAAGAAACGCAGCATGGTTGGAAACAAAATAAAATCAAATACAATTATTAAATACAAAAAAGTCTCTTCAATATACTCGCATAATTCTCATTAAAATTTTCAATATCTAAACAGATTTAAACTGTTTTTTAGCGTCTAATATAAATCATTTCAGAAACATATCTTTTAATAATGAATGGCTCATGATCCAATATCTTTACATCGTCCCAATCAAAATCATGATTGACTTTACCCTTATGGAAAAAACATTCAAATATTGAGTATCTACACTCAATTGTTCGAATTTACTTTCAAATGTGAGTATACACTCAAATTTGAGTATGGATATACAATATTTGAGTGTCTTTTTCCGTAAGATTAGTCTATACGTATACACAGTCTATATGCATTACTTTATTAATAACTTGTTTTTGAGTTTTCTTAATATTTTTCATTAATTAAGGTTACATAAGTTTTCCTGATCACTTTGAATTTCGAGGCTTCTGTAGTTGGTTTTTGAACCACTACTAGTTGTATGGGTTTTGGGACGGTTTGCTCACCAATCATGACCACACATCGTTTCAGGTTTTATTTGAAAAGAACTATATTTGCTAAGGATAGTCCAAAGAGTTAGGACGGAAACATACAAGATATTTATATTTCTTTATCTTTTTCTCAAGATAAAATTACAAAATTCAAGATGGTGGAATATGATAGATGACGGAATATGACGCAATATGACAGATCGAAATTATACCAGTGAAGAAGGATATTGCCTTAGCCAATTATATTTACTGAATTTAACAATGAATTGGTATTCAAAATTGATTTGTCGCGTCAGTTTTTTTCAGATTAGAAAGTTGGTCTTCCAAAAGATTATTATCCGTCAGTATCCGAGCGGAATATGTAATGATATACTGACATATCTTGATAAGATATTTTCCTTGAAACAATCCCATGCTGAATTTTGAAATTATACACTCATTTCGTTGAAGCCGAAAATTATTGACGAGATAAATTAACATCTTCTCTCGCCGTGATGGCCCATCTTTTCAAATCTAAATCGTGGATGGGAACACCTTTGTCAGAAGCAGAGTTAAATTGTTCCATAACATATTATAAAGTAAATAATAATTTATCACTTCTCGATCTACCTTTGGCAACATGTGCTTCCCATCTGTATAATTGTCGTTGATTTAAAACTTTCTTGAATCGGTTTCTTACTGTTTCAAAACTCAATCTTTTCCTTTTTCCCGATCGCCAATATTCAACTATCTTCCTCTTGTAATTCAAGTCTACCATTTCGTCGAACTTCGTATCGTCTTACACATCCCCTTGCGAATCATATTCTGACTCTTCCTCAACTAAAACGGCATCAGGAGTTACACTGGGATCATGGAAACTTAAACAAGCATAACTCTCAATAAATATTTGACTATTGATAACATTTTTCATTAAATCCGCGAGATGAGACGCGAACGATTTTTCCTCTTCAGTTATATTGATTGTATATTGTACACAGGATCTTCGAAATAGAGGCGTAATAAATTTAATATATTTTTTAGACTCATCGACATTACGAAATCATTTCTTCCGAATCAAGAGTAATCATATAATGAATTGTTAATATAATAGCGGAAAAAACTCACAAGGAATAGTTTATTATAGCCGATCGCCAACAGACAATAAATACAAAAAATGAGAACAGGTTGATAATATTTCAAATAAATGTCTCTATCATAAGGAAAAAGAAAATCGGACGTCGACTCTCATTTGTTTCGTAGAAACATTTATATGCGATTTTGATTTTGTCAACTCAGATTTATACTTTCTCTTATGCCATATATTTATTCATTTATTTATATTCTATTTATTTATATATTTATTCATATTCATTCATATTACTTATTTAAATCCTGAACTTGAACAACAAAAAATCTATTAGTGTTCAAAATATTAATCTTAACGTCCAGAAAATTTATATAATTAATATCCTTGAAAGTTTACAATAAACCTTCTTAAAAATCTTACAAGTAAAACACATTACAATAATAATAATAATAATAAAGGGCGACAAGCGAATTATATTTTGACTTCCATCTTCAGATTCGTAATTAGAGGCCCCAAAAACTTTCAGATATCAAAATTGGTTTGAATCAGCCGTCTTTTTATTAGGAGTATAAATAAGTTTCCGCCGTTTGACAAAAGATGGCCCCACCAGAAGGTTATATTGAAATTGTCAGATATAAAACGTAATATCGTAAGTTTGGACATCTAGTAACAACATAACCTTGAAGTATTAGTGACTCCGTATCAGCATCACATAATTTTTTTCGTGCGAAAATGTCAAGTTTTGTGCCAAATAAGCGTCATTTGCGGGAACTTTTGATTTACTTCTTTAATTTGAAGAAATCTGCAGCTGAGGCGCATCGATTGCTTGTAGAAGCATATGGTGAGACTGCTTTAAGTGAGAGAAGTTGTCATGAGTGGTTTCAAAAGTTTAAAGTTTAAGTTTAAAAACAGTGAGTTTGACGTGGAAGACAAAGAACGTAGTGGAAGGCCGAAAGTGTACGAAGACACGGAATTGGAAGCATTATTGGAGGAAGATTCGTGCCAAACGCAAGAAGAACTTGCACTTATATTAGAAGTGACTCCACAAGCAATTTCACATCGTTTAAAATCGTTGGGAATGATTCAAAAACAAGGAAATTGGGTTCCATATGAACTGAAGCCGAGAGACGTTGAACGCCGATTTTGCACGTGTGAAATGCTGCTTGCCAGGCATAAAAGAAAGGGTTTTTTGTATCGTATAGTCACTGGTGATGAAAAATGGATCCACTACGATAACCCAAAGGAGAGAAAATCATGGGGACTACCTGGCCATGCTTCAACATCGACAGCCAAACCGAATATTCATGGAAAAAACTCATGCTGTGTATTTGGTGGGATCAGCTTGGTGTCGTGTATTATGAGTTGCTCAAACCGAGCGAAACCATTACTGGAGCTCTCTATCGAACACAATTAATGAAATTGAGCCGAGCACTCAAGGAAAAACGCGCCCATTACTACTCCAGACACGACAAAATTATTCTCCTATATGACAATGCTCGGTCACATGTTGCAAAACCGGTCAAAACCTATTTGGAAACACTTAATTGGGAAGTACTATCCCACCCGCCGTATTCACTAGACATTGCCCCTTTCGATTATCACTTGTTCCGGTCGATGGCATATGGCCTGTCTAAGCAGCGCTTTACATCATATGAAGATACTAAAAATTGGGTCGATTCATGGATAGCCTCAAAAGATGAAGAGTTCTTCCGTGGTATTCGAATGCTGCCAGAAAGATGGGAAAAAGTAGTGGCTAGTGATGGACAATACTTTGAATAAAACGTAATGTACCGTTCTTTCACAATAAATTCCTAATTTTTGATAGAAAACGGCGAAAACTTATTTGTATTCCTAATAGCTCATCCAGTTACTGGAATGTCTTCATACAGTGAGCATTGTAAAACGAATACTTCCAAAGTGTGTTTATACGAGTTTATTATTGGGAGTACAAATTAGTCCGTTTTTTTGTGTTAAAAGATGTATTTATTTCAAAACAAAATGAACAGATCAATTAAAGTATTTTCCATCGCTGGCTACTACTTTCTCCCATTTCTCAGGCAATTTTCGAATTCCATCTAAAAAAAATGACTCGTCTTTTGAGGCGATCCAAGTTTGAAGCCAATTTTCGATATCTGCGAAAGAAGTGAACCGGTGACCTGTCAAATCGTGCTACATCCTTCGGAACAACCAGTAATCAGAAGGAGCAATGTCCGGAGAATACGGCGGGTGCGGTAAAACATCCCATTTGAACGTTTCCAAATATTTTTTTACGACTTTTGCGACATGAGGCCGAGCGTTGTCATGAAGAACACCTTTCAACATCTCTCAGTTTCAGTTCATAAGGCACCCAATTTCCTTGTTTTTGAATAATTCCCATGCCTCTCAATCGTACGGAAACGGTTTGTTGAGTCACTCCCAATGATTCTGCAAGCTCCTCTTGCGTTTGACTCTGATCTTCTTCGAGTAATGCCTCTAATTCTTTGTCCTCGAATTTTTTGGCCGTCCAGAGCGAGGCTTGTCTTCGACGCTGAAATATCCATCCTTGAAACGTCGAAACCATTCCCTACATGATTTATCAGTTGGAGTAGCGTAAACTTCAACAAGCATTCGATAGGCTTCAGCTGCACTTTTCTTTCAATTAAAGCAGAAAATTAAAACCTCCCGCAAATGCTGCTTGGTTAACACAAAATTCGACATTTTCAACATTGTAACAAGCAAGGTTTTTGTATGAAACTCAAAGCGATATAACTGCTATATAAACTGAATATTATTGGCAAATGTCTAACCTCTCTGAAACCGCCAAAATCGGCAGTCACTATGAACCATTCATAACAGCCGGAGCCAT